AAGCACTATAAACTCCCAGGAGTTACAAGAAGGTCCGTAATCCATGGAGACACAGACATAGTCCAAAATTGTACATGTGAATATATACACAATATAATAGAAGATATAGACAGACAACAGTTCGTTGCTTTACGGTCATCGATAGGTAACCCAATTTGGCACATAACGAAGTGTGAAAGTTCGCAACACGAGGCACAGACTACAAAAACCACAAACCAAGGTCGACGATACAGTAAACCGAGTTTAAACCGATGAATGAATAACTAATATATACCAGAGTTCTAAACCTAAAACCTACTACCAAAAACCAGTTGCCAAAGTGTAAGCAAATTCAAGCCGAGCAAGCCCAAAACTTCTTTCAGCTCTTATACAGACACCACAACGGATGCCGACATATAGGTACACTGCCAAAGTTAGCACACAACGTGATATTTTATGAGAGAAGTCCGTCATAGTTGAAGAACACGACAAGTTAATACGCAGCGTGTACGTTAAAGAAAAAAAAGTCCTGACACTACAATCAATAGTTAACACATGAAACAGCTGACTTCTGCTCCCTATCAAAGGACACGAGTAGCACGAATGAGCCTATGTATGCAAGTGATCTCGAGCCGGACAAACATAATATGAAGCATAGGTCGTACATCCAGAATTCGTGCAGCATCAACAAGCAACTCCACTCTAAGTAATGGAGAAGGAGCAATGCATATAGATAACCAGCCCGCACCGCGGCGTCTATCACTAGACCCAGTCATGTGTAAGTTCAAAGTGTCCATCTGTAGACAAGAACATCTACGAGGGCAACGTATACGTCATATGCACAAACTATACGCATATATGGCGGGTGAATCTATTAAAACCCTAACTCCGCTCTAAGTACAGGAGAAAGATCAATGCAGATGGATGATCTGTTCACGCCATGGGGTGTATCACTAGACCCAGCAATGAGTACGTTCAAAGTGTCCACCGAAAAGAATGTATACGAGGGCAACGCATACATCATATGAACAAACTATACACATATAAAGCGGGTGAAGCTATTGACGTAGGTGCTTTCCACAGAATTGGAAATGCAGTTCAAACACAACACCCAATATATTAAAACCAGAAGTAAATCAATTATCGGAGCTGTACAATGGGATATGTAGAATGTCTTAAAAACAAGATTCAGAAGAAGAACTTGCACACGATATAATCAATAGCAGCCGCGTCTCGTCTCCGGGCGATAAGATACAACTGGACACCATCAGTCCCTTGATAGACTCGAATATAGGTATCATATACGTTCTAGTTTGTCTTGACATACACTCATCATGTGCTATACTCAGACCAATTACGGACAAATACTAGTTCTATTCATGAGTGAACATCGCTTCACACCAGTCATACATACATACGCATCAAGCCACATAAGATGTGAATGACATTTTCGGTACAATTATTGAGAAGCACCGTCACAACACCCAGTACACGGACCATATCAACCTAATGTAATAGATGCAAGTGAGTGAACAAATAGAGACCTCATACCTTTACTGATCGATTTTCCAGATGTATACGACCATGTAACTCAACTAATGGACAAGGAGAACATTAGTAGAATTCACACGGCCGATCTTTCAGGCGAGATTGGACCAGACGATTTTTTAAGTCCCAGTCCTCATACCTATGCTGAGGTTTTAGGGGTTAGTTTTAAGGGTTGTAGAACATGGCTTCACACAAGTCATACATACGGATCAAGCCACAGAATATGTGAATGTCATTTTCGGGACAGTTATCGAGAAGCACCGTCACAACACTTAGTGTACAGACCATATCAACTTAATGTAATAGAAGCAAGTGAGTGAGCAAATAGCGAGCTCATACCTTTACTGAGGTTTTAGGGGTTAGTTTTAGGTATCTTTATTTGTTTACACGCTATTGCTATATACAATGCCTGATGTCCGGGGTGGACTTGTGGCTACCGGCAGGTGTTGGCAGTTTCCGTGACTCTGCTTTCCAGGGGAGGGCGAACTGGACTATCGAGGGGCTGAGTCTTTCGCTGTCTGTGGTTGTTGTACTTGTTGAGTTGTTTTCTTTGGCTGTAGTTGTCTAGTTGATGGTGGTGTAGGCGTTTGACAACCATAACTGAATTGACACAGAGCCTGTGACTAAACTGTGGCAGATATGCATATCGTTTCATTGAATGTGAGATATGATACAGTGGCTCACCAGTGTATCATACTCACTACCGCATCACCGGGTCGCGATGTGCGACTGTGCCTGCCGGTAGGTTATAAAACCCCTAACCCTAAAACAAAAGCCGGGCGATTGGTTTTCGCGGCTCCATTTATTCAATTGGGCCACAACCCACGTTTATCAAGAAGACACAAACCACCGCGATTCAATGTGTACTCTGGACGAGGACAGAACCAATTACCTGACTATATTTCATCAATTAACGCATATGACACTATAATATCATGGGAAGTACGCAAGCAGGGCAACGGGTATTGTGTCTGTACCCTACTATCCTGTCTCAGTCTGTGATGAGTCAACCGGACTAGTCAAGAAGACCAATGCTTTGGAGGAATCCGCTCCCTACAGCCAAGTACAACCAGCCGAGGAAACACAATCTTCCTCTATATTTGACTATCGATCTTCCACCAGGGGCGATAGACCCCAGGAGTACCTACTGCAATGGACGGATGGGGAGCGCACCTGGACGCATGGAACAGACATCGCAGATCCTGATACTCTTACACTTTAGCGTCAACGCACCGGAAAAAAGCGAAGGCAATGCAGGGCGACGAAGTTAATAGCAACGAGCACTGATGAACGATCAGTGAACAACATGCAGCGCTCGAGTTCAATGATACTGAAGGAAACTCCCAATTTTCTCACCTTGAAGCATGCTCCGCCCACATACCAGAAAGAAAAGGACCAAAGACTCGGTTATAAAGCTACCGTGGATTTGCGTTTCCCCGGATCAAGCTGATATTATCCGATAGCATATGTCGAGACTGACACTGATGCGTGCGGTCGAGAACTCGCGTCACAGCATAGGTTTAAATAGGTGATACATAAGAATATATAATGGTAACAGGCTTTCCATCTTAGCCCCATAAGGGACAGATTTTTCTCTGTACAAAAATACCAACCTCAAGAAAATCTAGTACTATAAGATGTCACTTTCAAGTCCTACACATGCTCATAAGTACAGAGTTGGGGGGCTGTAGCATCTAGAAACCTGATTATCAGAAAAACCAACACAAGCCCCAAAACCACAGCATTGTCAAATACTGAGTTTTGGGGTCCGGATACAAATAGGTTGATATCAGTCATCATAAATATTAGCGGTAGAACCGATGAGCTAAATCGGCACCCCGCGTGTGAGTAATACATATAAGTGTTAACCTTGAGTCTAGTGAATTGGCAAACACAAATATAGACTCATTGCTAGTCCTTCAGCCTTACACTGATACATAGCTGAAAGATTCACACTTGAGAAAATGTATATTGTCTCATTTGATCGTCTTATCAGATACTCTTAAACTCCACAACGCAGGTTCGACGTCAAAGTGATGAATTTCAAGACCCTCGGACGTGGCATGAGCGATGAAAACGCGAGCAGTGTAATTTTTTATATGAATGACTTTCGAACTCGCTGGAACAGCGGAGTCTGAGATAAGGCAGTATAGTTAATATTCCTGTATGATCTTGTCCCATTCATGCCATACCTGTGACCGTTGTGCTTGCGCAAGACCTTTTGGGTAATGAAGTGTGCATCTTGGCAAGCTGTCCGAGTAGCGTTCTATCCGGAAAAAAATTATGAGCCATAGTCTCGAGAACATAAGCATGTGAATGGAATTGAGAATGGTAATTACACGTGTTATGAGATAGGGTGGAGAAAATGGAATCGTGCTGTGCGATGTGAAGTCATATTAGATGGCGGGCAAGAAAAAAATAAATCAAGCGAATAGTGTTTGGAAAGTTGATAGGGTATCCACTTTTCATAACCAGAGTTCTTGATAATACGTCATAATTGGCAACCACGTCATAATACAGTATATATTTTCATCTTGCGCTGGGCATGAGTATAAATACACCCACCAGCGGCACTATGAGTAACTAAAGGCCGAAGAGTTTATATTCTATATCATGGTTACTCACGCGATCTGCCTGTTTAAAACCATCAGTCCCTTCTTGGATTCAAAAACATATGCGGCGGACATATGCAAATTTCAACACTGTCTTTGGGAGGTTTCATGTATACCACGTGGTCAAGAATGAGGTACAATAGCGCAGTGTCGATATCACAGTGATGAATCTTAAGACCTTCGAACGCGGCATGAACGATGGAATGCGAGCAGTTAGCGGAAACAGTTGGTGCATATGTTTCCAGGTAGTAATCACTATATTCCTCCTCATCACCATGTGCAACCTTTATAACTTTAAAGATGTTCTGGACACAGTTCTCATCGTACTTATATATAAGGACCTTTTTTCTATGAATGACTTTCGTACTCGCGGAAACAGCGGAGTCAGATACAAGGTCGTATAGTTATGTTAGATGAGTATGATGTTTTTCCTGTATGGCTTTGCCCCATCCACGTCATACTGGTGACCGTTGTGCTTGCGCAAGACTTTTGGATAATGTAGTGTCCACATTGGCAATCTGTCCGAACAGTGTTGTATCCGGAGATGATAATTTATGAGCCAGAATCTTGAGAACATAATTATATATGAATGGATTTGAGTAGTCGGGGATATTGGTACTGTCGCAAGAACGACTATCACAAGGTTCGACTAGAGTTGTTAGCAGAAAATGAAATTCATGTTTAGAGTAATCGTCGAGCGGAGCAGATAGCGGGGACACATGAACAGGGATAGCGGACGGTAGTGAATGTATCGGGAGAGAAGATGGTGGTGGACATTCCGGGCATTGTTGATATTCCGCTTGTGGATTGATTGAACTACGTGCGTGTCAGACGTACTGTCAGACGCGCCTCCAAGAAGTACACTATAATGGCACTGTACTGAGTTTTGTGTGTTTTGACTTGTGAGTTGATCCTTCAGCACGATAGGCGACGATACAGCAATAGCATACCTGACGTACACGGCGGACTATCTTGCTATGTCATTTGTCGGACGGAAAAGACAGGTTCCTGTGGGATACGGTTATCATGACGTATACAACGAGCCCCGACAAGTACAAGAAACAACAAGGAAAGAGGCTGACCAGAATTTGGAAGAAGTGCGCGGACCAGGACATCGAGTGTCGCTAGCACGTTATAATTTTTCACTAAGCTGAGCATAGAGGTGTGTGTGTGGGGGGTGATGGTTTCCAGAGCCATGTGACGTGCGTGGAGCACAATGTTCTTGATCGCAACCATTTGGAGAACATAATCATCGTCAGCTACCAGCGTATGATGTTCGAACTGAGGAGGCAGGGCCAGCAAACTAGAAATATTTTCAGTTCTTATTGGAATTAACAAAACCACATTGCGTTGAGAGCGTATTTGATACCAAAATAGTATTCGCGCATGATACTAAAGGTGATATGTAATTGTGCTGCCGGGCCATGAAGGGTGTCCATTGTAGAGTGATGAACGGACTTGCGCCGTATTTTTCTTGACAAGAAGAGTTTACAATACTTGAGCAAGTATTAGTGGGTAGTAGCGAAAATATTTTTTACTTTCAAATAAGTGGCAGGGGAAACTACAGTTCGAGAGGGACTGATTCAGGCGACGACAGTAATTACCCACTTTGACTTGCCAATACAGCGTAGGCCGTGTTGTAGGAACAAGGGAAACTACAGTTCGAAAGGGACTGATTCAGGCGACGACAGTGATTACCCACTTTGACTTGCCAATACAGCGTAGGCCGTGTTGTAAGAAGGTACTGGAAGTATTTCGAATGATTAACGGCTGGCACTGCATACAAGAGAGAACGGGGAGTCACCAGGGGCTGGACGGAGAGGTAATACTATGGCCAGTAGAGTATCATACGGGTTGGCGCATAATCCCTCTTCCGTAAAGAAATTAAACTTGCAGAAATCACCCAGAATACCCCCCAACAAGGTCCGATAATGCAAAAAGTTGTGCTTTATATTTAGAAGAACATAGGTCAATAGTATGTGTCCTGCCAGAGTTTATGATAAAGCATACAATCTCTCGTAGCGAGTTCGGGAGGCGGATGATATGTGTATGTAATATGCTCCTTACGAGTATATATAGGTGTGGTAGCGCGACTACAGTGCTCAATATTCCGACGATATTCGTCATAGGTCACGGTGCGAGGTGAAGAACAAGTGATTGAGTGATAGCCGTGGCTCGGAATAGAGTGAATAGGAGGCGGAGTAGACGATGGAATATCAATGGCACTTTTGACAACAGCGACAGTGCTCCGAAGGTATGTGAAAGCGCGGACGGTAGTGTAGTAGCTATTGTGGCCATATGTAATAGTGTGTTGGGAGCATATGTGCAAGATATATAGAATACGAGTCCATACGGGGTAGTGAAGGCCGAATCCATTGTCTTGCATGTTGCTTTGAGCAACAACATATTCGGATAGACTGAGGCAGATATATAGCTAATGACAAGACTAGGAATAATGTCTTTCTGATGTATAGTTATATTTTCATTGTCATCAAGATGGATCAAGATGGAGTGTGAGGCGCATATGTTCAATCTACGTGAAAAGCGGAGCAAGCGTTATTGACGAGGTTGATAGATGCACCAGAATCTATGAAAGGATCAGTTTGTTCTGCCTTGGCAAAGGATGGAGGAACTGTGGCACGGGCAAAATTGATAGCAAACTTTTGCAACATAGCGTGATAGATTATAACCTATGCAAGTAGTCGGGCCGGCAGTATATTACACCCTGATGTGGCCTTTGGTTCCTCAGCAAAGTTTTATAGGGGATGCCCCTCGAAGCAAGCAGAAGTTACCGCGAAAATCAACTATACGGGGTCCTGGTTTAGGTGTCCCATGTGTTGGATAATAATAGAGGATCCGGAGTGTGCTCGTATTAACAAATTCAACTAAAGAGGGCCGGGGATGCCCCTCTAAGCAAGCAGAAGTTACCGCGAAACTCAACTGTCAACTATACACGGCATACGTAAAAAATAAGGTCAAGTTGGAGAATGAGAGGATTGAACTCCCGACTTTGTACATGCGAAGCACACACTCTACCACTGAGTTAATTCCCCGATGACTTAAGATAAAATATAAAAATATATATAATTACAATTTAAGCTTTATCCACGTGAATTTCAGAAGTTGATAGTAGAACAGCGAGTTTGAGAATAAATATTTAGTCTGTTTTTACATATTACATAAAATAAAATATCGTTTGTGATGTTTAGGTGTACCATATTTGGGAGCCCATCTTGATCCGGCTCCATCGTCCGTAAGTTATTACATTCACAGAAATATTTATGAACTATGCATTCAGAATATATACCTTTCCTTCCTCTGTATTATGCGAGAAGGCTGTTTACCTGCAGTACCCAGAGACGGACTATGCGATGGCATAATAGTAGTTAGTGGACAATTTCGTTCACGTTCCTCCAGCGACCGTTGCGTTCCCGAAATAAAAAGCACGATGTTGACCGTCATATATCAGTGCATACATATTTTATTTCGGATTATCTGCCTAACTGGATATCAGTATTTCAAATGTATAACGACAATCGAATACTATAGAGTTTATTGCATATAGTAATGTAATACGAATTTAAACCGTAGCTCATAGTAACCAATATAAAAATACGGGTTTTGTGACCCACACAGAGTATAGCGAAATCTTATGCTGTGTTCAACCACGTAGAAGACAAACCCATGTTGACAACGGTTCCGAGTATATTTCATACAGTTGTCTATCAATTATAACTAGGAGAAAATTTAGAGTTGATATTCTCATATTTATTGAGGACTTCGTCGTATGCCAAGCACTATACCGAGTATATTGATTCGGAAACGACAGTATGATTAATAGAGTTGTAATTGAAATATCTATAGTCTCATAGAAGGAATACAAACGCCAATCGACAAAAATTAAACCATCGTACTGCTGTAGACTAAATTCATATATGCTTATATGCATCCTGATGCAAAGTATCAGGTAGTACCAGGCGCAAAGTCGAATCACTTCTTTGATGATAGCACACCGTACCATATTCACGTGCCGACGATATCGTTCTGGTGGAGTGGATTTTGACAGGGTATGTAAAATAGTATTTACGTCCTACGGACTGTCGGACTCTGAGGCCGCTGCCACCTCTCTCAATGCCGAATGCTCATGACGTCATATATCTGTGGCATTTATTCAGTATGTTATGTCACGAACTCAAAAAGCCACTGAATATGTAAATAAACACTATTTTTCAATATATGTAAATAAAAATGGTTGCAGGAGGGGTATATCAACGCCAACAGATGATTGCTGAATTTATACTCTAAGCGTTTCACAGTGCAATAGAGTAGAAGATAATCCGATTGAAGATCAAGTCGGCAGATTTGTGTAGTCGTGGCGAACAGTCTAGAGGGCCACATAGAAAATTCACGTGCCCCCTGGCGCGAACAGCGCCTGTGCGGTGTGTAACGTTGCTGTAAAAGCGACATTAATATGCCAGACTGGGCTTACGGAAACTCTCCGGTATGTATCATTTACGGATGGTTTAGCTTAAAACATAGTTCTTTGTGTGAACTACTTTGTTTGTCGAAACCTACACATACACTGTCTTTCGACCTCGTGTCCGTATAGGTCGCACATAGTGGTGCAGCCTACTCGACATTCGAGAAACACAACGCTTGTATGTGTGTCGTGTATATATCAGTAGCTATATGTCACTAGTTAGTGGTCAGCAAACATTTGATTTTTGATCGCGACGATCATTCACTATCTGAAGATGAGGATTCCGATAAAGACTGGTCAGTTGCACCAATGTTCTGGATTTTGAAATAAGGTAGATTTGCACATGTGCCAGAATACGTGAATAGTTATCCATGAATCTAAACGGGAAATCCCGAACCGGCATA